ACTACCTACTACTACTACCTACTACTACTACTACTACTACTACTACTACTACTACTACTACTACTACTACTACTACTACTACTACTACTACTACTACTACTACTACTACTACTACTACTACTACTACTACTACTACTACTACTACTACTACTACTACTACTACTACTACTACTACTACTACTACTACTACTACTACTACTACTACTACTACTAGTACTACTACTACGACTACTACTACTACTACTACTACTACTACTACTACTACGACTACTACTACTACTACTACTACTACTATACTACTACTACTACTACTAACTACTAGTACTACTACTACTACTACTACTACTACTACTACTACTACTACTACTACTACTACTACTACTACTACTACTACCACCACCACCACCACCACCACTACTACTACTACTAGTAGTAGTAGTAGTACTACTACTACTACTACTACTACTACGGATTTTGATCGTACTACACACGACTACTCTATAATGGTACGAGAAAGACCACCACCAATCATTTTAAGAATCGTTCGGATACTTGCAAACAGAGTATCCACAGTATGATTTCGTATAGGCATACCAAATTCATTGTTATGGGCATAGGTCTAGTAGTACTATTCTAATTTATATGCACATATGTTTGTATGAAAACTCAAATCAGTAATAAGAGCAGCAATGGTATCACTACTAGTAATACGAAGCATTCCCATCGTATCAATACTAGCAGGAATACTTACACGAAGAAGGCTGCGACAACGAGGCGGAGAAAAAGGAGGAAGAGGAAATGGAGGAGGAGGAGGCGGAGGCCGAGGACGCTGAGGAGGAGGAAGAAGACGAGGAGGAGGAGGAAAAGGCGGAGGAGGAGGAGGAGGAGGCGTAGGACGAGGAGGAAGAGGAGGAGGAGGAGGAGCAGCAGGATAACGAACAGGAGCAGGAGCAAGAACAGGAGGAGGAGGAGGAGGAAAGGGAGGAGGACGAGGAGGAGGACGAGGCGTAGGAGGAGGAGGAGGAGGAGGAAGAGGAGGAGGAGGAGGAGGAGGAGGAGGAGGAGGAACAGGAGGAGGAGGACAAGAGCAAGAGCAGGAACTGGAGGAGGGGCAGGAGCAGGAGCAGGAGGAGGAGGAGAAGGAGGAGGCGCAGGAGGAGAAGGAGGAGGAGGAAGAGGAGGAAGAGGAGTAGGAAGATGAGGAGTAGGAGGAGGATATTACATTTGATTAGACGATGCGCTGCGCGCGGCGGCTCCACAGGGTTACACCTGGGAATTGGTTTCCCCGGCCAGCTTCGTGTGGCAATGGGCGAGACCCTTCTCGAAGGCCCTCAAATAAGCCAGTCCCGTTCGCGTGGGAGGCTGGCAACAGTTTCGCACTACACCTGTAGTGGTCTGTCCCCAAAGCACCACAGATCGAGCAGGCAAAAAGCAGTTCTCTCCGAGAGCCTTCCCCCACCTCCCACCACGGCATAGTGTGAGAGACATGCACAGTCAGGCCATGGCGAGCCCGAGCTTCCGTATTCGGGGCCTGGCAGGAAGGGTTCACGACGGCGGAGGCACAGCAGGGCTCCCGGAGCCACCTAATTACGGCACCCTTGGACCTCTTACGGGCTCTGAACCGCACGAACGACAATGCCAACGGCGACTGTGGACAACCACGGGCCCAAGGGAATGCAACGTGTCAGCAAACGTCTGCCTCAGGTCCAGCTTGGGTCGGGAGGTCCCCTGGGCCAAACTCAACTCCGAAACAGGGCGAGACGCTGGCATCTCCGCCAAAATGTCGACGAGGCGGTGGCGGATGTCCTTCGACTCCACCTCCAGCTCAAGCAAGGTCTCAGCGGCTCCTGATGGGACTTGTGCCTCAGGGGACATCTTCTCAGCAAGTTTGTCGGCCAGACTGTTGAACGCGAAGAAAACGACCTCACCTCGGGCGAGGCACTCTCGAAATATGATTCCTTGGCGTGGCTCTCAATCTTGACAACTTCAATATCCCTGTCCAGGGCAAGCCTCCTCACCTGGCTCCAGAGGTCTTTGTTTCTCTTTGGCTTCCAGCACGCTTTGGCCCGTAGCCTAGAGAGACCTTTCTGAACATATGCGCTCTTAGTGAGGTAGGTGAGGAGGAGGAAGAGGAGGGGGATAAGGAGGAGGATGTGGAGGCGGAGGAGGAGGAGGCGGAGGAGGAGGATGAGGAGGAGGAGGGGGAGGAGGAGGAGGATGAGCAAGAGCAGGAACAGGAGCAGGAGCAGGAGCTGGAGCAGGAGGGAGGAGGGAGGAGGCGGAGGAGGAGGAGGAGGAATCGCATGATGAGCAGGATGAGGAGGAGGAGGAGGACGAAGAAGAGGAATGGGATCATGAGGAGGAATGATGATGCTGATGCTGACACTGATGATGATGCTGCTGATGATGCTCATGCTGATGATGATGTTGATGATGATGTCGATGAGGATGATGATGACGATAATGCTTATGCTGTTGCTGATGCTGATGATGATGGCGATATTGATGATGCCGCGACTGCTGCTGCTGATGATGATTATGCTGATGATGAGGATGCTGCTGCTGATGATGATGATGCTGATGATGATGGTGATGATGTTGATGATGACGACGATGATGATGATGATGATGATGATGATGATGATGATGGTGATGATGATGATGATGATGATGTTGTTGTGAGTGTTACTGCGAATCATACTGACGATACTGCCAGTTCTAGTAGTAAAAAGTCACACGTACATCCTAATATTACTATCAAGATCAATAATGCGGTTCGTCATATTAATCATACGTTCAGAAGTTTCAGACGTTTCAAAGGTTCCAACAGTTTCAAAACGTTCACAAAGGTTCACACGTTTAACACATTCCAACAGCTTCAAGCGTGTCGGGATTTAGACCCGAACGACGCTGAACCCCAACCTCTTATACTATTACGGGCGCTACTACATTATTACTAACACGATTTGTACGCGTAATAACAATAGGATCTATCATACTAGTAGTATTCACGTTACGGTTACTACTACTACTAGTACCTCCACGAAGAATACGAATTCTACGATGAATATTTCTACCATGAAGAGTAATAACGAAGAAGTCATATCACTAAGACCAACGCTGTCACTAAGACCAACAAAACTGTTACTCATACGAACCAAGATTTGAATACCAAAACGAATGAAACGACGCAGTAACATACTAATGATACGGATAGTAACACCACGAATACTATTACTACTACTACTACTACTACTACTACTACTACTACTACTACTACTACTACTACTACTACTATTACTGCTACTACTACTACTACTACTACTGCTACCAGCATACGAAGAATAGTGGTACTACGAGTATTACTGATAGGTTTCATCGTACCACGAATGATAGGCATCTCAGTAATGTAATGCATCCGACGCGCACTAGCAACATCACTAATCATTAGAACTTTGTGCGAAAACAAATATTCATGATGCCACCCATACGAGTTACGTAATAGACGACAAAGGCGAACACTAAACATCAGGCTACTACTCATAATAATAACACGACTACTACACATGCTTCTACGGAGAAGAAGAAACATACCATGCGGATTATGATGATGATGAGGAAAGCACGGAGGACGAGGAGGAGGAGCAGGAGCAGGAACAGGAGCATGAGCAGGTGCAGAAGCAGGCCGAGAAGGCGAAGGAGGAGGAGGAGGTGGAGGTGGAGGAGGAGGAGGCGGAGGAGGAGTATGAAGAGCAGCATGAGCAGGAGCACGAGGAGGAGGAGGAGCAGGAGTAGGAGGAGGAGGCGGATGAGGAGGAGGAGGAGGAGGAGGAGGAGGAGGGGGATGAGGAGGAGGAGGCGCAGGAGGAGGAGGGGAGGAGGAGGAAGAAGATGATGAGGAGGAGGCGGAGCAAGAGGAGGCGGAGGAGAAAGGGGCGACGGAGGAGAAGACGGATGAGTAGGGGGAGAGGGAGGAGAAACAGGGGGAGGGGAGAGGAGGATGGGGAGGAGGAGGAGGAGGTAGAGGAGGAGGAGGAGGAGGAGGAGGAGGAGGAATAGTAATACTAATTAAACAGAATAACAAAAAGCATGCTGATGCTAATCCGGATCATGATGAGGATGCTACTAATACTACACATGACATTTAGCAATCAGAGCATACCAATACTTGTAATACCAATAGCAATACTGCTGTAATCGTAATAGTACCACGAATGAGAAGAGTACGAGCAATAAGACTTACAAGTACTAATACTGATCGTACGAGGAATACTGTTACGAGCAATTCTTGTAATAATACTAATAACAATAATAATCATACAAATAAGAATAAGAAGAGGAACACAAAGAGAGAAGAAAAAGGAGGAGGCTCAGGAGGAGGAGGAGGAGGAGGAGGCGGTGGAGGGGGGAGAGGGACGGGAGGACCCCCGAAGGGAAGGGCGGGTACCCCCGAGGGCAGGGTGGTGGGGACCGAGAAATTGGAGGGTCGAGGGCGCAGGCGATAGGAGCTTTTCCGTGCTCCGTTGCTTGCGGCCTCTGGGGGTGCCCGGGTGTCCCCGCGGAGGGCCTCAAAAGAAGCTTCCGGGTCAAGAGCGAAAGAAGGACGCACAGGTGAATGACTCCACGTTGGTTCGAGAGTGCGCATCGATCGCGCGAACGTTCGTATCACGCGGTTGGTCTCGCGGACTGGTGGGGGGGCGTGTTCATGTACGCGGTTTGGCGCACACGTCGTTTGTGGATTGCCCACTGGTTGTTCCCGGACTTTTCTGGAGGCCTCCCAGGGGTGGGGGGAGGAGGGAGCTCGTCATTGTCGTCGTCCGAGAGCCCTCCGAAGCCTTCCGAGGGCCCCCGGAGAGCCTCCGAAGGCGTCCAGGGCGTCCGAGAGGGCCGAAGGCGTCCGCGGCCCTGCGGGGGCCCTCCGAAGGTCCCCCCACGCGGCGCCCCCGCCGACCGTCGGGCGGGCGCCCGCACGGCCCGCGCGCGCGGCGCCGCGCCGGCAGGCGCTGGCCCTGGCCATGGGGGAGGCCTGCAATGACGCGGAGGCGGCCACCGGCTCCTCGCCGCCTTCGCCCCGCCTCCTCCTCCTCCTCCTCCTCCTCCTCCTCCTCCTCTCCTCCTCCTCCTCCCTCCTCCCTCCTCCCTCCTCTCCCCTCCTCCCTCCTCCCTCCTCCCTCCTCCCTCCTCCCTCCTCCCTCCTCCTCCTCCTCCTCCTCCTCCTCCTCCTCCTCCTCTCCTCCTCCTCCTCCCCCTCCTCCTCCTCCTCCTCCTTCTCCTCCTCCTCCTCCTCCTCCTCCTCCTCCTCCTCTTCCCCTCCTCCTCCTCCTCCTCCTCCTCCTCCCCCTCCTCCTCCTCCTCCTCATCCTCCTCCTCCTCCTCCTCTTCCTCCTCCTCCCTCCTCCCCTCCTGCCGCCTGCCTGCTGCCGCCCTCGCTGCTGGCCTGGGCCGCCGCCGCCGCCCGCTCTCGTGCGTCGCTCGCTCGTGCGCGCGCCCCCGGGTGCGCCCCGCCGCGCCCGCGGCGGTCGAGCGCTTCGGCGGGCGGAGGTGCGCTCGAGGCTACCGGAACGCAGACACGCAGAGGGGGTTGGGAGGGATGGGGCAGAAGGATGGGGAGGGAGAGCAGGGCGGGGGGAGGGGCAGGATGGGGGGTTGGGCGAGGCGCGGGGAGGAAGGAGAGGAAGGATGGGGGGAGTGAGGAGTGAGGAGTGCGGGGCGAGGGAGGCGGAGGGGGGGGGCATGAGAGCAGCCGGGCCGATTGCTTGAAAAGCTACGGGCCGCCTACTTTTACTGTCCCGCCTGCCCGATGAGGCCCCGCCCGTGCGAGTTTGATTTTTCTCTGTCGGGGTTGACCCAGGAGCTGGCATGAACAATTGCAAACAAGCTGGGGGATTGTCAATGAACGAAGAGGTCAGCGAATTGTTCATGCTGAAGGACATGCGGGGAATGAAAAGCGAACTGTTTTTTCTCTTGTCTGAAGAATCATTCTGGTTGATCCCCCCACTGGCGCCCAGTGTTTTTTCAATTGAAGTGTCCCCCTAGGCCCCTAGGCCCTAGGGCACGCACCTGGCTTTTATCCGGGAAAGTATCATTGTTCGAACTGGCTCCCCCAGCCCCCAGTTTACAACACCAGCGGCTCCCGCCTGATATTTCGTTACAATTTGCGCCGGAATCGCGCTCTCGCTTAGGACATCCTTGCACCTTGCAGATCTATTGAGATTTCGCGCCCTCGACGCTCGGGAATCGCGCTGTCGCAGGAGACCTCCTCAAAATACTGCTAACGGCCGGTGCCGCCGACCCTGGAGGCCTGCGCTCCCGACACGCCCCGGGAGGGCGGTATTCTGACCCGAGACCCCCCCCCCCGGGAACCTCCCCGACCTTCCCCCTTTCCGCGGGGAAGGGATCAAAGGGAAGGGGCTTCCCTTCGGCTCAATGACAACGTTGCTTAATTTCGCCGTGGATGGGCTGGTGTATTTCGCTTCGCGCTGTCGCAGGAGACCTTCTTAAATATGATCGGGACTCGTGCTCTCGCCTGAGGCTCCTTCGCAATTTGCATAAATCGCTTCACTGGACCCCCCCGCCCGACCCCGACCCGCCCTTTAGGGCCTGCCCGCCCGACCAGCCCGTTAGAGTCCGCCCGCCCGACCTGTCCGTTATAGGGTCCGCCCGTTCGCCTGCTTGAAGCCCTTCCGCCCACTTCAATGCCCCGCCCACCCGGCCCACCCCTTTCCTCCCGCCCGACCCGCCAGTCAGGGCTTGCCTGCCCGACCCTGCCGTCAGGACCCGCCTGCCGAACTCATGGCTGCTCTCTCCTTCCCCCCTGCCTTCTCTTGTTCCTCCCGACCTACTGTGCCCTTCCTTCCTCAATCTTTACATCTCGGCTGCCAACCTCGTTAACTTGCTGCTGGCTTGAACTCTGTGCGTCTCCAAGCCGCGTATTACTATATCGACGACGACGACGCTGATACTCTGGAGCCCTTCGTGGGGCCCTCCAGGAAGCCTCTTGGGCCCTGTTGGGTGGCCTCGGGGGGACTTGTTAGGACGCTCCGTGGTCACTTGGAGCCTCCCTGGATCGGAACTGAGGCTTCTTGGAGGCATGCAGGAAAATACGCAGTACCTCCCAACAGCAGGTGAGAGTGAGGAGGGTGCTTCCGGGGGCAAGGGTCCAGGAGGAGGGAGTGGCCTTTCGCCTGCTACTGGGAGGGTAAGCTTCGGGGTCAGGAAAAGTAGGCTCAATTTCGCTGATTTTTCTCACTCGGGGTCGTATTTCTATCAAGAACCATGCCTTCCTTGCCTTTTCTGGGGCAGTTCCTCTGGAAATACCTGGCCCAAGCCAGTATTGTTCTCAGAGACTCAGTTTTCCTCAGTTTGCCATTCGCTGACTCTGACCCCCAGGAGTCTGAACCCCATTAGCAGGCGAATGGGGTGGTGGTCCCCTTGGCCACCCGGGGAACTGGGGAGAAAACGTCCCCCCTTCCCCCCTTGTCTTTGTCCGCAGAGGAGGCGAGGAGCGGGGGCGGGGGGGGGGTGCTGAGCTCCCCCTGGTCCACTAGGGGGCCACCCCTTCTGCCCCCCCTCTCTACAGGGGGTGGCCGTGGGGGGGGAGGTGAGGGGGGGGGGCTTTAATGCAGTTCTCCCTGTCTCAGACGATCGCCAACCTGGATCAAGGGGGCGTGGATTAGCGACGGGTCCCCTCGTCAACAGAGGGGGCCCCCCCCCCCCCGGGACGCCCCCCCGCAACCCCTCCCGGAGACCCCCCCCCTCCCCCCTTAGGCGGGGAAGTGACCAAAAGGAAGGGGCTTCTCCTCGACCTGAACTGCGACGACGTTCCACAATTTCCTTGTGGCTGGCGGTTGAAGAGGGCAGCCCAGAGAATCGGGGGGGAGCGGCGACGGCAACGTCGCCGGCGCTGCCACCGCCGCTGACGACGACAGCGACGACGACGACGACGAGGACGAGGAGGAGGACGACGACGGGTGGTCAAACGGAACAGCGTCTTCCACACGTCGACAGGGTCGGCGGATTTTGGAGGCCGCCTCAATGACGTACACGTGGCAGGCAAGGAAGATATTCCCTCAAAGAGGTAGACACGATCGAGGACGAAGAGGACGGGTATCGAGGGTTTGGGGTATACACGAATCACACGCGAGCAAGGATGAGCGAACAGCTTTAGTAATATTGTTGATGCTGCTAATGTGAATACTGAGGATGATGAGGAGGGGTCGGACTCGTCCAGCTCTCAGTGGGATTCTCCATGTGCGAAGTGCGTCTCGGCGTTTTCATCCGCACCTTGCAACCCGAAAGTTGCTGCCGATAATGCCACATAATGCGGAACTGGTTTCTTCCAATAATGCTTGTGTCTTCGTGGAGAAGGAGGAGGCGAAGGGGGAGGAGGTGCTTACAGTTGTGCAGAATATCTTATCATTACCTCCTTCAGCTTTCAGAGGTCGTGCTCGAGGCTTACAAGCAGAACAGGCTGGGCTTCTGGTTGGGGGGATGAGGGGAGGGGGGATGACGGGGATGGAGAGAAAAGAGATGAGGGAGGAGGGAATAATGAGGGATATTATGGAAGAAAGAGGAGGAATGAGTGAGGATATGGGTTGGGAGGCGAGTTGTTGGAGGGGGGAGGATATGTGTTGGTGACAAGGCGCAGGAGTTGAGAGACATAGTGCTTTACTGATTGATTGGCAGAGGGGCTGGGCGGACGGGCTTGGCGTCGCTTTGTTCAGGATTCATTCTGCGCATTCGGCGACGTAGCGAAGCGGAAGAGGAGGGGAGCCTGAACGGATCAAGCGCAATGGCGGAAAGTACGCGAGGCAGAGATAGGCAGTCACGCTTGCAGTGAGCTGCCTGGCGGGCGCCGAACGATGGGGCCGTGAACGCAGGCCCCATCCTGCAGCGCAGATTTTGACGCCTTGGGCATCACCGTCGTGTGTAATGAGCCTGAGGCCTCGCCTGTGAGGAGGATGAAGAGGCAGAGTGGGAGCATGAGAAGGCGAAGGCGAAGGCGGAGGGGGAGGATGAGAAGGAGAGGGCTTCATTGTTTGGGGGCCTCTGAGCCTTCGGAGGCCTCCCCGGGGGGCCTCTGGATGGGACCTCTGAGGATCTCCGGAGCCTTCTCGAGGCGGAGGTGGTCTGGTGTGATCGGTGGTGGTGCAGAGGGAAGGAGGGTAGAGAGCCCGCAGGGCTTGACCTAAACGCTGTTTTGCTGGACTACGGCTGTGTTTTGTTTTTCTTTTTGGCAGGGAGGTACAGAGAAAGACGACAACAAAACGAAAACAAAGCGAAAAACAACGTTTACGTCCAGCCCTGAAAGGCACCCCCCCTGGCTGGGGGAATCCGCCAGCTTGCCGAGCGCGGCCAGGTCAGGTCAGGTCAGGGACGCCGTGCGCCAGAGAAGGCACGTGAGAGCGGCAGGTCACACGTGCCTTGCCAGACAAGATTCGTGTACAGCCTGCCTCCAGCCTCGAATCAAGGGAGGAAAAGCCACTCGGACCCGATACTTGGCGTTTGCTAAACGGTCTTGGGCGTGAGCTGAACAGCCCTGCCCGGTTCGATTTCTTCCTTGGTTGCGTTTGCCAAACGGCTTCGCGCGTCGGGGTGATTACAGTGCAGGCCTATGTCAAGAAATGCCCTGCTCGCCTCCAGGGTTCCCTGGGTTTCTTGGGTTTCGATGGTTTGGCCACGGAAAGCGTGACGTCCCCACACCAAAAATCAGTGGACGTCCTGGAGTCTCAGGGTTGGGTTTCTTCTGGAAGGTTTCTTGTGGACTGGCCCCCACTGTATTCTGAGGGTGGATTTTCTGCTCGCTGTCGAGCTGGGCTGGTGCAGCGGTGGGAAGGCTGCTCTCCTCGGTATCGTTTAACCGATCCCCATCCCCATCCGCATCCCCATCCCGAGCCCCACCATCTCACCACCCCAGTTGGGGATATACCCTCGAAACCCGAAGGGAGCAGCCTATATCCCCATCTAGGGGGGGGCAAATCGACCAGTGGGGCCCAGGGCATACCAGTGGGGATATATATATATATGTATTTATGTATATGTATATGTATGTATGTATGTATGTATATATATATATATATATATGCTCGCACCTTCCCCCAAGATCTACATTTTCGTGCCCTGTTCATGTCTTCAACTCATCTCTTCCTCATCCTCTTCTTTGCTCTCCATTGCCCTCCCGCTCCCAGGTGGCGAATTGTTCCAGTCAGATACGGGGCGACATGTTCCAAGGGGCGACGTGCTCCAGATCACGCAGGGGCGAACTGCTCCATCCAGAGACGGGGCGATAGGCTCCAAGGGGCGAGATGCTCCAGATACATAGGGGCGAACTGCTCCATCCAGAGACGGGGCGAAATGCTCCATCCAGAGACGGGGCGAAAGGCTCCAAGGGGCGAAACGCTCCAGATACATTTGGGCGAAGTGCTCCATCCAGAAACGGGGCGAAATGCTCCATCCAGAGACGGGGCGACAGGCTCCAAGGGGCGAAACGCTCCAGATACATAGGGGCGAACGGCTCCATCCAGAGACGGGGCGAAATGCTCCATCCAGACACGGGGCGAAAGGCTCCAAGGGGCGAAGCGCTCCAGATCACACAGGAGCGAAATTCCCCAGTTCTGTGTTGCATTGCGTTGGATTGCATTTGCGTTGCTGCAGTAGAATACTTTCCAGTACAATACGTGCATTCTCGACCCTCCCTTCCTCATTAATCGCCTCCTCCTCCTCCTCCTTCTCCTCCTCCTCCTTCCTCCTCCTCCTCGCCCTCCCCTCCCCCTCCCCATCCTCCTCCGCTTATTTTTCCTTCTCCTCCTCTCCCTCCTCCTCCCCCTCCTCCTTCTCCTCCTCCTCCTCCTCATCCTCCTCCCCCCTCCGTCTCCTCCTCGTAGTCGTCCTCCTCCTGTACTTCCTCCTCCATCCCATCCTCCTCATTCTCCTCTTCCTGCTCCCCCTCCTCTTCCCTCCTCCTCCTCGTCCTCCCCCTCCTCCTCCTCCTTCCCCTCCCCCCCCTCCTCCTGCCCCTCCTGTTCCTCCTCCGTCTTCCCGTCTTCCCCTCTACGCTTCTTCTCCCTCGCCCTCACTCGCTTTCGACGTAACTTTTTCTTCGTGTTGCAACGCGTTCTGGCCCGAGCCTGCTTCGACGCAGAACTCGCGGCGCAGCTTCCACGAACCCTCGCGGCGGCAATGCCGACGATGCTCCGCCTCGCCTCCTGGTGCGCCGCCAAGGCGCAGCACCCGCTCCTCAACGAGCCCGACGCCGACATGACGGCGGCGGCGGCTAATTGGGGCGTCGTGTGCGACGGGGTAAGCGGGGTCGCGCCCCGCTTCGGCCCTGAGGACCTCTCGTGGGACCTTCGGAACTGCCCCCGCTTACTCCGCCAGCGGTTCCACTGGGCGGGCGACAAGCAAGAGTTCGACGCCCAGGTGGTCCGCGAGATCGGCGGCGACGTGCGGAGCATGGCCACGGACGCTCCTGCGGCGTGGGCGGCGAGGCCCGAGCAAGCAGGAACAATAACAAACGCACGCACCAGACGACAAAGAAAACAGTTACGTAAACCACAGCAACATAAACCACGAGGCTCTTTCCTTTGTGTCTGGCACCAAGATGGCCTACTGCCACATCGGGGACGTATCCATCCAGGTATGGCGCAAGTCGGCTCTGACGGGATGCTACACGCGGCTATTTATCACCAGGGACCACCGCGTCCGCATCGCCACGGCTTCAGGCGAGGTGATCGGTCCGAAGCAGGTCGCGTTTTTTCTTGGCGTGGCCAGGGTTGGCGTTGATCTGGAGCGTGCCGTGGCACAGGCCGACTGCGGCACCGTCAATTTGAACCCGAGAGACATCACCATTTGTTGCTCCGACGGCATCGTTGATAACGTGCTTTACGAGAGCTTCAGGGGCGACCGCCGCGGGGTTGACGGCGACGACTACGAGGGCGATGAGGATGATGATCCGCCCCGCGGGACCCTCTCGCAGGAGCTCGAGCGGCTGTGGGGTCTCCACCGGGCGGGCGCCATCACGCTCGTGGAGTTCAACTCCTTGAAGAAGAGCGTGATCGGGGAGCTCGCGCCCGCCAAGAAGGAGACGGGCAATGCCAAGCAGGAGCGGGCGCGCCGCGCGCCGATCAAGAAGGGCCCCGCGGGCGCGACCATCAAGCGGGAGCCCGCGGGCGCGTCCGCGTCCGCGGGCGGCGTCACTGCTTCGCCCGTGGACAAGGAGACGATGAAGGCGATCTTCCCAGGCGCGGGTTGCGGGGGGGGAGAAGTCCGGCGTCGTTCGCGGGGCGTCGAAGGATTCTTCCGTTTGTTAACCAGCGGGTTTTTGAATGACGGCCCGTAAAGTCGAGGGCATGGTTGTTCCTCTGCTCGCGGCTGTCGGGCGGTTCGTTTGCCCCCCCCCCATCCCCTCCCTCGTCGACAGCCGTGCTTCTAAGCCCTCAACAGGCGTCGTGGCGATCGACTCGGATTCGGACTGAGGCGGCCGCCGCCGCCGTGGGCCAGGCGCTGCGCAGGAGTCGAACAGCTAGCAGCGGGTGCTAGGTGAATTTGCTCGGGGAGGCATGCAACCATTTGGGGTGCATCCAGGTCGCTGCGGGGGTAGACAAAGGGCACGCGTCTGACTTCGCATGGCTGTTGCGCACGTTGCAATGATGAGCGTAGCATGCGCGGGGCACCCTTGCGTCCTTGCCTCTGCGGCTCGCCGTTAGCCAGCCATAACATCGGAAGCCGCTAAGCGGGCGTCCATTGGAATTGCGTCATTGCCGCGCTGTTAACACCGCCAACATGCGGCTTGCTGTTGCGTGCGCTTGCGCAGCAGCCACGCGCGCGCAGAAACCCTGGATGGTCGCCTAACGCTCCTATTTTCTAAGATTCCTAAGGCAACCGAAGGAAGGTGGCCACCAAACACTGCTATTTTCTAAGATTTCTAAGATTTCTAAGATTTTCGCAACCATCCCAAGGCCTTGCGGAGCAGCCGCGCGCACACAGTAGCAATCCAGAATGGTCGCCAAATACTGCTATTTTCTAAGATTTCTAAGGCAGCTGAAGGAAGGTGGCCACCAAACACTGCTATTTTCCAAGATTTCTAAGATTTTTAAGATTTTTGCAACCTTTCAGGCCAGCCTGGGGATGGCTGCGGAAATTTTAGAAATCTTAGAAAACTTGGAAAATAGCAGGGTTTGGTGGCCACCTTCCTTCGGTCGCCTTAGGAATCTTAGAAAATAGCAGCGTTTGGTGGCCATTCAGGGTTGCTGTGTGCGCGTGGCTGCTCTGCAAGGCCTTGGGATGGTTGCGGAAATCTTAGAAATCTTAGAAATCTTGGAAAATAGCAGTGTTTGGTGGCCACCTTCCTTTGGTTGCCTTAGGAATCTTAGAAAATAGCTGCGTTTGGTGGGCATTACTTGCCACCAACACAAACAACGCAAAGCTTCCTTAGAGGAATTTAGTCTTCAGACCCAATCAAAATGTAGATCTTGGGGGGGGGGGGGGGGGTGCGACCATATATATATATATACATATCGGTTAGACGATGTATTCTCCCCCCCTGTGCCCCCTCCGCGACGTGCGGCTAGCGGGGGCCGCCCTGCACGAGTCGGCCGGAGCAGCTCGTGGAGCCTGTGGGTCCAGGAGCGGGCGTCACCGCCCACCAAACCACACCAACCCAACCCGAAGGGCCCGATTTGCCCTCCATTTCCGGTGGGTGGGGGGGCCGGGGAAGATTGAAAAAACACATATGAGGCCCGTGCCCCCCTCCAACCCGAAATTCCGGCGAAATTCGGGTCTTCGGGTTGGGTTGGGGTGGTTTGGCAGGTAGTCAGGGCGGAGCCTGCCAGGCTGTCCAGGTCCAGGCTTGCGTCGCGAGGACCTTGGCACCACTCAGGGGAGGAAGAGGTACCCATGCCGCAACCTTTCGCTCCCGCCTTCTCTGTTTTTTCGGCCTCCTGGGAGGCCCTCGTCGCCACCGCTGGGTTCGCCTCGAAGTCCTGGTTGGAGTGGCGACGTTCGGATGCGCCCGGCCGACTCATGTCGGCACACCCCTCCCACGTTTCGTTGCCCCATAGGGAGTTTCACCGAAGGCCCCATCGGCGACGTTGGCATGCGCCCACCCCCCCGCCCATTTCGTTCGGCACGCCCCTCACACGCTTCTTGACCCAATTGGAGCTCCACTGAAAGTTCGCATGCGTCCCGCCCATTCGCCCCCCCCCTGCCCGCAGTGCCCCGCGCCTCGTTCTTTCTGCGGCGCGCTGCCGGAGAGCAGAGGGTATACCGCGTGCTCCATTCGGGGTTTGCGTGCCCTCCTCCTTCGTCTCCTGCGTGTTTTCGCAGCTGCGTCTGGTTGGGTCGCTGTTTTACGAGCCCAACAGGTTAACTGATGTTGTTTCCGGCGTTGCTCCTTTCCCCCCCCCTCTGCTCCTACTCCTGCTCCTCCTTCTCCTCCTCCTCCTCCTCCGCGATTCCCCGTCGCTTTGCACTTAGCCCACTTACTCCTCCTCCTCCTCCTCCTCCTCCTCCTCCTCCTCCTCCTCCTCCTCCTCCTCCTCCTCCTCCTCCTCCTCCTCCTCCTCCTCCTCCCCCTCCTTCTCCTCCCCCTCCCTCGCAAGCCCGTCCCTCTCGCCGCGTTGCCTCTCTCCTCCCCCCCGCCCCCTGCGAGGGCAGTTCTGCCGACGGTGAGCCGCCGCCTCGTGTCGGACCGCAGTTTCATGCTGCGGGCAGTGCGTGTCGACGGCCTGGCGCTGCGGCGATCCGCGGGGGGGGTGGGTGGGCGCTCCTCTCATGCTGCTGCTCGTCCTTCGTGCCCTCCTCGTCCTCGTTCCCCTCCTCGTCCTCGTGGTTCTCCCTGTCGTCCTCCTCGTCCTAGTCCTGGTCCTTGTCTCACTCCCTCCTTCCTTGCCTCCCCCTGTCTCCGCCGTCCCTCGCCTCCCTCCCTCTCTTCACTTTCCTCCGCTTCCTCCTCCTCAGTCACTCAGTGGCTCGCCTAGTCAGTCAGTCCGTCAGCCAGTCAAACTTTCGGCCGTAAGCTCGTAGCCTGCGAAGGATGGGGCAGAGCAGCCAAGGCAGGCGCGCATGTGCAGCACCATGTACAGGAGAAGAAGGTGAGGGCCACAGCCCGCACCCCGCAGCCCATTCCGCGGCCCGTGGGAGGGCTTCCCCCCCCCAGGCTGTCGTCCTGGCCCTGTGAGCCATGCAGTCGTTGGCCATGCGGAGTCATGCATGGGTCAAGCGGGATGCAGAAGTCCGCAGCCCATTCGTGAATGGTCCAGTCCTTGTCGACGCCCTGGCTATGGGAAAGTGAGCGGTTCACATCAGAGAGAGTGGCGGAGTCAAGCAAGAGAGGCACAGTGGATGAGGGTAAACTTCGGTTTTTGTGTGTTGGCTATTGCCTCTGTTCACCCAAACCCGAAGGGAATGAATCGCACACCCCCGCGCCTCGTAGTCAGCCAGGGCACGTAATGCAGGGCACTGGGCAGAAATCAAAGGAGTGGGTTCGCGAGAACGACTGCCAAATTGACATTGATCAATATCCGATCTTGGTCAATACCAGGATCGACCGTGTGGATCCCAGAAAGACGCTCGAGTTCGTGGAGGTACAAAGAGGAGGGAACATCCAGATTAGAGGGGCGAGGAGCAGGGTGCTCGATTATGGAAAGTATCCTACACCTCCAAGCTGGTAGAGGAACAGCACCATCGTACGCATGAGAGCGTTGCCGAGCTCGACCTGTCGAACTTCCTTCGGGTTCTAAACGGGCAACGCCAAAAGCTCCTCCTCCTCACCATCGTCCTTTCTTCCCCTGCCGTTTCACACGTGAGCTTGGGCCAACCATTTAGGTGTACCTGCCGGGAGGCCTCGCGATCTCCGCCGCCGCCGCCGGCTCTCTCTTTTTGTTGCCTTCTAATCTTTCGACCGTTTCAAGGCTGTGAGCTTGTCTACATCTCTGCGTGGGCCCTGGATCCCCTCCGAGCGCTTGTTGAGGGACGTGTAGTGACAAACAAGATGTGATACATTAGCAAATATGTAGGTGCACACACGTACGCAAACACGTATGCATGCATGTATGTATGTTTGTATGTACGCACGTATGTAGGCAGGTAGGTAGGTAGGAAGGGAGGCCAGAAGTTTGCATGTGTGTATGCACGTATGCATACATGTATGTATGTATCGATGCATGCACGTATGAACATGTATGTATGTATGCATGCATGTATGTATGCATGTACGTTTAGGTATGTCTGTATATGTGTGTACGCATGTATGTATGTAGGTATGTATGCATGTATGCATGCATGTATGCATGTGCGTCTTATATATTTATGTATGTTTGCATGCATGCATGCATGCATGTATGGACGGCTGTCTGTCTGTCTGTCTGAATATATGTACGTATGTATTTATGTATGCACATATGTGTATGTCGGAGGTGAGGGGGTGAGATCGAAGTGGAACAGAGAGCCCCCCACCGGGAAATCGATTTCGGTTTCGTGTTCGTGCGTGCCGTGCGGGCGAGGCGAAGCTGCGTGGGCGGGCGAGGGAAAGTCTCCTGTGGCTGAGGCGCGGCCGGACCACATGTCTCCCTTCCGGGCGGCCGGGGGCCCGCGGTGTCCCGCCGGTGTCCCGCTGGTGTCCCGTGTGGCTGAGGCGCGGCCGGACCAAATGACTCCCTTCCGGGCGGCCGGGGGCCCGCGGTGTCCCGCCGGTGTCCCGTCGGTGCCCCGTCGGTGTCCCGATAATGATGATGTTGATGATGATCATGATGGTTGTGTTGATGGTGATGATGATGACGATGATGGTGTCCTGGTGATGATGATGATGATGATGATGATGATGATGATGATGATGATGATGATGATGTTGATGATGATGATGAGATGACGATGATATTGATGTTCTGCCCGTTGTTGTTGATGATGATGTTGGTAATGCTGATGCTGCTGATGATGATTATGGTATCCCGATGATGATGATTATGACGGTTGTGATGATGATGGTGATGGTGATGGTGTACCGATGATGATATTGATGATGATGTTGGTGACGATGATGCTGCTGATCATGATGCTGTCCCGATGATGTTGATGATGCTGTTGATTATGATGATGATGATTCAATGATGATGATGATGGTGTCCCGATGTTGTTGATGTTGTTGACGATGACAATGATGGTGACCATGATGGTGTGCCGATGATGATGCTGATGGTGATGATGACGAAGGCTGTGTGCCGATGATGATGATGATGCTGATGGTGATGATGACGATGGCTGTGTCCCGCTGGTGATGTTGATGTTGTTGATGATGATGAGATGACGATGATGTTGATGTTTCTGCCCGTTGTTGTTGATGATGATGCTGGTAATGATGATGCTGCTGATGATGATTATGGTATCCCGATGATGATGATTATGACGGTGGTGATGATGATGGTGATGGTGATGGTGTACCGATGATGATATTGATGATGATGTTGGTGACGATGATGCTGCTGATGATGATGCTGTCCCGATGATGTTGATGATGCTGTTGATTATGATGATGATTAAATGATGATGATGCTGATGGTGTCCCGATGTTGTTGATGTTGTTGACGATGGCAATGATGGTGACCATGATGGTGTGCCGATGATGATGATGCTGATGGTGATGATGACGAAGGCTGTGTGCCGATGATGATGATGATGATGATGTTGCTGACTATGATGAGATGATGATGGGGATGATGATGATGGCCTGATGATGATGGCGTTGATGATGATGACGATGATGATGATGATGACGACAGTGTCCCGATGACGATGAAAATGATGGTGTTGGTGATGATGATGATGATGACGTTGAATGTTATTGATATCGGTAGTGAGATCGATAGTCAGACCGAATGTGAGATCGATTGTGAGATCGATAATCAGATCAATTGTGAGACCGAGCGAATGAGATATATCGAGTGATATCGATTGTGAGATCGATCGAGTGAGATCGATCGAGCGAGACCGATAGTGAGATGGATAGTGAGACCGATCGAGTGAGACGCTGCATCCTCCCCCCCCGAACCTCCTGATCACCCGAAGGGTGGTCGTATAGGTATGCATGTATGCATGCATGTATGTATGCATGCATGCATTTATGTATGTATGCTTGTATGCATGCATGCATGCATGCATGTATGTATGTATGGATGTGTGTATGTATGTATGTATGCAGGTAGAAAGGTAGGTATATAGGTATGTAGGTATGTATGCAGGTTGGTAGGCAGGTAGGTCGGTCGATTGGTAGGTACGTCTATATATATATGTATATATGCTCGCCCCCTCCCACATGATCATACACATTCTCCCATCATCCCTCCAGTCATCATAACCCGTTCCTTCCTCCTGTTTTTCTTCATGATGGTTTGCTACGTTGCAAACCGCAATTCCGTCGATTGCAATCCAAACACTTCAGCGCGAAGCGACTTCACTCTTTCGCGGCGCATTGCAATCCAATCTCACCATCTCATGTTTATGATGCCCCTCCTCCTCCTCCTCAGCATCCTACTCCTGCTCAACCTCAAGCTCCCCCTCCCTCTCTTTCTCTTTCTCATCTTTCTTCTTTGAAGCTTTCTCCACCTTCTCCTCATAATTGTCCTCTCCTCCTCGTCCTCCTTTTCCTCCTCCTCCTCGATACCAAACGCCTTGTCCTCCTCGTCCTCCTCCTCATTTTCCTCCTCTACCGTCTCCCAATCCTCCTCCACATCCTCTTCCTCCTTATGTTTGTCGTCTTCCCCCTCCGCTTCAAAATCAAATGCATTGGCCTCAACTCTTCTCTTCCCCCTCCTCTTCCTTCTCCTTCCCCTCGTCCTCCTCATTCTATGAATCCTCATCCACTTCTTCCTCATGTTTGTCCTCATCATTCTCCTCCTCCTACCCCCTCTCACTTTCAAACTCCTTGTCCTCCCCTTTCTCCTCATCCTCCTCCTCCTCCTTGTCCTCTTCATCTTCCTTCTCGGAATCCTCCTCCATCTCCTCTTCGGCATGTTGTCCTCCTCCTATTCCGCTTCCGCAAATTTAAACTCATTGTCCTCCTCCTGCTTCTCTTCCCCTCCTCCTTCTTTAAATTCTCCTCAAGCTCTCCCTCATGTTTGTCCTCCTCGTCAGAATCCTCCTACTATTCTTCCTTCTCCTCCTTCTCTGAATCCTCATTCACCTCTTCCTCCTCCTCCTTCTCATCCTCCTCCCAATGTTTGTCCTCCTGCTCATCGTCTCTTCCTCCTCCCCCTCCACCACCTCCTCCTCCACCTCCTCCTCCAAACCATATTTGCCCTACTCCTCAAAATTGAGCCCCTTGTTCTCCTCCTCCTCCCCCGCGTCATCTGGTGAATGCCGAGCTCCAGTGGCGCCAGCCATAGTTGAGCAACATCCTCCCCCATTTTCCACCGCCTCTTCCTAGCTGTGGAGCGGCGTTCACAACAAGTTTTGTGAATAATGATTCGTAGCGGAAGGTTGCTCGCAAGGTTTGTTGTGGAGTTGCATTCGCAATTAGATTGGAGGGTAACGCCTCGAAGTGGAGAGGAGGGGGCTGAGTGATCAGGAGCCGTAGCAGCAGGAGGAGTAGGAGGAGGAAGAAGAGGAGGGTGAGGAGCATGACGAAGGTGAGGAGCAACACCTTACTCACAAAACTAGGTGTGGAGCGGCGTCCACAGCTAGTTTTGCGAGTAATGTTTCGTAGCAGGAGGCTGCTCACAAAACTGGTTGTGGAGCTGCGTTCAC